TTTTTCATTGTTTCGATTCTTTAATTTTTCTTCCATTTTTAGGTTTTTCAATATTTCAGCTTTGGAATTTTGCAATACTATTTCGTTTCTTCAATTTTTCAAATTTTTGATATTGTGTTTTCTCGGTTTTTAAATTTTTCGATATTTTAATTTTTCAGTTTTTAAAGTTTTAGGTTTTTGGATTTCTCATTATCTCGACTTCTCGATTTTTCAGTTCCATGATTTTTCAATTTGTCGAATTTTTAAATTTTAGATTTTTTGTTCTCGATCATTCAATTTTCTGAGTTTTCAGGCGTAGATTTTTGTTGTTCAATTCTTGGATTTTTAAAATTTTTGTTTTTTAAATTTTCCTATTTATCAACTTACTGGGATTTCAATGTTTTGATTTTTTGATTGTTCAATTTCTCGATTTTTTGAATTTTTAGTTTTTTATACGATGTTTTTTTTCAAAAATTTTCAGTTTTTCAATTTATTAACTTTACGATATTTCAGTTTTACAATTTTTAAATTTTTTTATTTTTCGGTTTTCAAATTTTGACGTTTCTAAATTTTTCAATTTTTCAATTTTTCGATTAACTGATTTTTTGATTTTCCAATTTCTCTATTTCTTGATTTTTCAGTTCTTTCTTCAATTGTGATTTTTCAATTTTTCGATTTCTGGATTTTTCAATGTTTCAGTTTTGGATTTTTTCACTTTTCCAATTCTTCAATTTTCTTTCCATTTTTCAGTTTTTGAAGATTTCAGTTTTGAATTTTTTCACTTTTTCGATTTTTCAATTTTCCTTCCATTTTTCAGTTTTTCAGTATTTCAGTTCTGAGATTTTGCAATGTTTCGGTTCTTCAATTTTTCCATTTTTTGATGTTTCGATTTCTCGGTTTTTCAATTTTTCGATAGGTATTTTAATTTTTCAATTTTTAAGTTCTAGATTTTCCGTTAATTTTATTGTTTTCCTTGATGTTTTGATTTCTCGATTATTCGATTTTTCAAGTTCGGTTTAAATTTTTTGGTTTTCCAATTCTTCGATTTTTAAATTGTTTAATTTTTAGATTGTTCAATTTCTCGATTTATAGATTTTTCAATTTTTCGGTTTACCGATTTTTTTCATTTAAAATGTTTCAATTTTTCAATTATTAAGTTTTCGATTTTTCAATTTTGGTGTAATTTGAAAACGGTATTAATAATACATTTAGGCGAATAAACTAATAGACGGGCTTGATAATCCTTGTTTGTTCTACAGTGTCTAAATTGTGTTTGAATAATATAATAATTATCTCGAATAGTAAAATTAATATGTCAAAAGAATACGAGAAATGATTATTCTGTGCTGAAGGTATGTTGTGGACCGCCTGTCATAAATTATCGTTATTCTGCATTATCGGCTTACCATGCTTTTATGACCCACGTCCGGTAGTCCCATCGCGTCAGGTAGATTTAAAGAAGAATTGCTGGTTGCGTTTAAGGCAAGAAATGGCGCCCAATTCAAACTTGTCTCTCGTCTAGCGTTCCCCCTTAAAGTGTGCACTCTGACGAGGAAAGTATCAGTCATGTTTTCTCGTGTTCATAAAGCAATCGGCTATTAGTGTCTTTTACTATATAATATTATTTCAAAAGCTTAAACTTCTTAATCTGACACTCTAAAAAAATTACTACATTGAGGTATTCCGCAAAGTTTAGTTGTGGAATTTATTAAAAATTCCACTAATCAGAAGCCAGAAGGACTTTTTAGACAACTGGATGGATGACTAACCTAAAAATTTGTGTGACTATTTCAAAGTCACTGTTGTAGTTTTTGGCAACAAATTATAACGAGTGACAAATTTTGAAACAGCATTTGACCAATAAGTGTCCTCCACTGGAAAGAACATTTTTACAGATTATTCTTTAAGTACTAAGGCATTCTGTTAGCTATATTATTAAGGAGTGTGATACAAATATATTACTATTTTTTTCTGGAACTAAATTCCTCTACTCGATGTTACATATTTAAACACACAAAGAAAAGGGAAATTGTAAGTTATCACGATGGTGTGACAGTAAATTTAAATGTAAGAAAACGATATTCCTAAAGGAAAAGAAAATTTAGCTTTACCTAGAAATTGGAATTTGAAGAAAAACGAACTTTGAAAGAAAAAAATGCTTTGTACAGTTGCACAGGTTACGTTGTTAAAAGCTTGATAAAAAAAATTTTGGATGTTTCAGTTTTTAGAGTTTGCAATTGTTCGATTTGGAATTTCACGAGTTTTCAATCTCTAATTTTTCAATTTTTAAATTTTTGAGTTTTTCATTTCTTCAATTTTTCGATTTGCAACTTATCGTTTCAGTTTTTTATTTTCTTTATTTTGACAATTTTTCGATTTTCCAATTTTCCACTATTATAATTTTTGTTTTTTCAATTTAATTTTTTTTCATTTATTCGATTTGCGATTATTCAGTTTTTATTTTTTATGTTTCTTCAGTTTTTACAATTATTATTTTTACATTTTCTGGATTCTTCAGCTATAATTTTCTATTTATTCAATTCCATTTTTTTCAATTTTCCGAGTGACAGTTTTTTTTTTGTTTCTTTAGTTTTACCAGTTTTTTTTCGAGTTTTCATTTTTAAGTGTTTCAGTTTTCCAACTTTTCAACTTTTTTCGGATATTTCGGTTTTTAGATTTTGCAATTTTTCGATTTTCCAATGTTCCGTTTTTATAATTCCCTGTTTTTTCAATTTTAATTTTGTCATTTATCGATTTGCGATTATACAATTTTTCATTCTTTTGTTCTTTCAAGTTTTAGATTTTGCAATTTTTCCGGTTAAAATTTCTCCAGTTTTCAATTTTCTTTTGATTCTTTAAATTTTCATTTGTTCAAATTTTCGATTTTCTATTTTTGGTTTCGGTTTTTCATTTTCTTTATTTTTACAATTTCTCGATTCTTTAATTATAATTTTCTGTTTTTTCAACTTCAAGTTTTTCAATTTTTCAATTTACAAATTTTTTTTTTTTGTTTCCTCAATTTCAGGAGGGTTTTTTCGACTTTTCATTTTTAACTTTTGGATGTTTCAGTTTGCAATGTCACGAATTTTCAATTTTTAGATTTTTCAATTTTTCATTTCTTCAATTTCTCGATTTATAACTTTTCGTTTCGGTTTTTCATTTTCTTTATTTCAACGATTTTTCGATTTTCCAATGTTCCGACTTTATAATTTTTTGTTATGCGTGTTTCAAGTGAGTTTTTCCATAAGAAAATTTTACGATTATCTCGGTAACATTATATCAAGGACACAATTGGCAGTAATATGTGTGGACTGTTGAACAGGTAATAAAGTGATTATAGCATCATCAACTTTTTAACAAGGACAAGGAAAACGACAAAAAACACAAACAGGACAACAAGAAATCGACAATAAAAGGCAACAGAACAACCAGATTAAAAAGAGGCGACAAAAAACCGATAAACAGTGTACAAAATTCAATAAAAAGTCACAAAAAGCGACTACAAAAAAATCTAGAAAACACGCTGTAAAAAACGCGACAAAAAAGTGCAAAAAGAGCAGGCTCCAATAAAAAAACGATGAAAAAAGTATTAAAAAAACTACAACAAAAAAATGCATTAAAAAAGGCTCAAAAAACCCGCAACGATATAAGCAACAAAAAAGACGAAAAAAAGCGACAGACAAAGGCGGAAAAAGTGGATAAAAAAAGTGACAAAAAAGAGGCGAAAAAAATCAACAACAAAAAAAAGCGACAAGAAAGTGTGACAAAAATAGACGACACAAAAAGACGACAAGAAGGTGACAAAAAAAGACATGAAAAAAGTGGCCAAGAAAAAACAAACTTAGAAGTAAAACAGTAACAAAAAAGAAGTTAAAAAAAAGAGATAAAAAACCAAACGAGACAAAAAACGGAAAAGGGCGATAAAAAGCGACAAAAGAAGAGGCGATAAAAAACGACAAAAAAAGAGACGAAACAAAATTGACGAAGAAAGGAAAGGACAAATGCGAAAAAATGAGAGAAAAATGCCCAAAAACAGAAGGGGGTTCCTAAAAAAACGAAAAAAGGGGCCACAAAAAAAAAGGGAACAAAAAACCACTATAAGTGACGCTTAAAAATATTAATGCACTTCTAAACTAGAAGTATAGATTATAGATTCATAATATTTTATATATAGTTTAGATAGGTTCTTCGGCAAAATTTTGAGATGAAGGGATAAACGGATAAATTTTGAGTAACGATTTACAATGTTTACAATTTTTTTAAATCTGTTGAGCAACAAGAATTTACATGAAGTGAAATTAGATAATAAAATTAAAGTCAATGATTAAATCAAAATGATATCATCAAATCAACAAATCCACAAAATCAAAGCAATAATTCGAGAATAAATGTTCAAATTCAAGTTGTAAGGAAATAACACATTAATATCGTACAAAATAAGCAGAATACCTACATCTCCCATTTCTAGTTCACCATGATATTAATTTAACTGATGATAATTTTCAAGGTCCTTTCTCCCAAAATGAAAGTTTTAGTTTAAATACCATAAACAAATATTTTTATTTTCAATCTTAAGTGAAAAGTTATGAAGTGTGCAGAATGTATTAATAATAATAACTTAGGTAAAAACATCAGAATTCCAGAATATTTATATACATCAACAATAGTGATTACATCTAGTGAACAAATTCCGCTGACAACATAAATGACCTTGTATAGTTTTTTTTTGCGTGTTGCTTTTTTCTGTACTACACAATATACGGTCTGCATTTTCTTTTTTTCGCTTAATTTCCTTTCGTCACAAATGACATTCGCCTTTTATGAACATAAATTCTTGTAAATAAACCCGTCTCTCTCAGTATGGCCTATAATACATGACGTTTTTTGTCACTAAATGATTTCTGTGCCTTTATCAACTGATATTTAATTTTTCGGAAAATTAATTTTCTGATGAAAATTCAATTAACAGTAGTTCTGCAGTCCATGTCGCATGTCCTACAATTTTGACAAGAAACTGACAAGTGACAACTGTCAAACCATTGTAATGTTATTATTATCGAAATAGAAATAAATGAAGGAAATCAGCGAGATTTATTAATCAGCATTAGTCGGAATAAGTAGATTTTGTATCGTCAGTAAGTCATTATCGCTTTTTTTTCATATGAATATAACCTCAATTTTAGGTATTTGCATAACAATTTTATTAATACAACATTATTGCCTCAACCATGACAGTAAGTAAGAGTTTTCGTTTATATTTACCGAATTTCCCATCAAATTTTCACTACATGTGAGGAGTCACTATTAAACATGAAGAAAGTGGACCATTTTTATTGTGTTACATCAAAGCTACGAAAACTAAAATGTAAAAGTTGCAATTTTAACACACAACTCCTCACTCATCTTCGGAATCATTCTCATAAACCGAATGTACAAACCAAACCCGTTATTGTCTGTAAATGTAAGAAATGTCACTTTTCAACATACTCGAAACTTTTGTGTCTGAAACATATACTCCGCTGTAAATGTAAAAGAAAATTTCCTAGACCTGAAATAAAACATGAACTGATAATCAAAGCACACCACGAGGAAACTGAAAGCGAAATAGATCCGTTAGTTGACTACAATCAGTTACTTTGTGAACCAGAGCACAACGACCCAATCGAACAAAGTAACGTAAACTTCAATTTAATGCACCAAAGAAACACTCCCTTTGACCTGTTGAATTCCGGTCTCCCGCTACAAAAAGAGCGCTTCCACTGCGACCACTGTCCCTACAAAACGTCGCGTTTGTACAACTTCAAACGTCACGTGATCACCAACCACTCCCTAAGAACCTTCGAGTGTGAAGTGTGCAATATGAAATTCGAGAACAAAAGACTTCAAACCCAGCACATATTCCTCGAACACGCCACCACCTCAGAAAAGGTCCCGTGGCTCCAGTGTGAATATTGTTCTTTCAAAACCGTGTACAAGACTTCGCTCAAACATCACCACCTCAGAAAGCATACTCATTCAGAAGACATTACTTGGTATCAATGCGAAGATTGCTCCTATCGCGCGAAACGCGACTCGGATTTGAAGGAACACCACCTGAGGATACATGCGGATCCGGCGAATGTCGAATGGTTTCAGTGCGAATTGTGCCCATATAAAGCGAAAAAGAGGTGGCGATTGCAGGGACATGAAAGGCGAAGACACTCGAAAAAGGAGAAAACTAAATATTCGTTGGACATTGGTTCGTGGTTGCGTTGTGGTCAGTGTGAGTTTCAAACTACTCATAAGAATAGCATGAATAGGCACAAACGCGTTCACGCAGGTACCGATTTCGTGAATTGGTATTGTTGTCAGCAGTGCTCGTACCGGACTAAGTGGAAGACCAACTTGAAGACGCATGTGGAGAGAATGCACCAGGAGCAGAGTAACGAATCTTGCGTTCTTGATGTTCGTATAAAAGAGGATAATGTTATTATGTAGAGATATACAGATGCGGATTTTTTGCCCTCTTATTTATAACTATATAGTGTATAAATTACTTATGAGATGGATTAAATTATTTAAAACGTTTTTTAGGTCAGTTTTTCCTAATTGTACCTTTTACGTTGATAATTTTTATTTGTGACGCCGTGAATACTTGATTTGTGTGTTAGGAACTTTTTTAAAAAATTAATATCCCTCCCTACCTACCATCCCCATCACCTTGCTCATTGAGTTGGTTAAAATAAAATCTCAAACATCTAAATTCCTTCACATCCTCTATTTCTCTGTGTCCCCACTTCCAAACCCTTTGTTTTTATCTTCCACCTCTTCCGAAACACTAATTTCAAATCCCTTCTCATTTACCTTTCAAGATTTTTAATCATTTCTTCCGTCTTAGCTTTCACCACAATGTCAGCAGCATATGCAAAGACCCAAACCTTCTTTCTTCCTTCCAGCACTACCCGTCCTATCGCTAAACATTTCTTGAAGGTCTCCTATATAACAAGCGAATAGACTTGGGCTCAGCGGGCACCCCTGTTTTACCCCTTTCCCATTCATTCTTACATTGGTCGTTGTGTTTTTGTACAGTTTCTTAATTCTGTTTATTAGATGTTCACTTATCTTTTTCATTTTCAAATATTCCCACATCTTTTCTCTATCTAGTGCCAAATACGGTCTTTCAATCGACAAAATCAATAAACACGGTACCTCATTTCTTTCTTTCCCTATCCCATGGTGGAAAATATAGACATTATCCATTGTTCTATAGTTGTCTTGTCAGTCTTTTTTCTGTCTTGCTTCTAAACAAGGTAACAGAATGTATGGAAATCATTAAATATCTTGAGAACCAATTGTACAAATCACCTGAAATTAAAATAAGGTGGAGCACCGTTTTGTTGAAACCAAATAGTTTCTGTTGGTAACTCCGGATTTTGGTAACTGAGAAACAGTTGTCTAAGTCTAGGCATTATACGTTTCTGCAACAAAATCCTGTTGATAAAATTTCCATCTTGTTGTATTCTGTTTATAATAATTTCGGCAAATTCAACTCTACGACTAAAATCATCTTTGTTTAGCTCTTGTATCAAATGGATTTTGTATGAGTGAAACTTTTCCTTTTTCATTATTGTTTGAATTAATTTTCTACTAACATTGTGATTCAGCGCTATTTGTTGCACTGACGTGTTGGAATTTTCTGTTGCGTCTAAGAGGACATTAAAGGGCATTTTCATCATTTGTAGCAGTTTTTGGCATGCCAAGTTGTGGTGACCGAATTTGAATCAAATTTTCGCGCTGAAATTCATTAACAGCGGCGCGAAATCACATTTGAATAATTTGAATTTGAAAAAAAAAATCGTTAAACATAGGCAACTATGTGCACGTTAGAGCTTGGGGGTAGTTGGTAGTTCTGCTTGTTAGTTAGAGGTCGGTAGTGGTAGACAAGATCGCGGCATGGCGAAAAACGTATTGAAAGCGTTATTATTGTTTGGTTGGGTTGTGTCTGTGGGTGCATGGTAAAAGACGCTGTAAGTTAGCTAGGTTAAATTAGTAGGTTTGATAGTTAAGGGGGAACGCTAGACGAGAGACAAGTTTGAATTGGGCGCCATTTGTTGCCTTAAACGCAATCATCAATTCTTCTTTAAATCTACCTGACGCGCTGGGATATACGACTACCGGACGTAGGTCATAAAAGCGTCGTAAGCCGATAATGCAGAATAATCATTTCTCGTATTCTTTTGACATATTAATTTTAATATTCGAGATAATTATTATATTATTCAAACACAATTTAGACACTGTAGAACAAACAAGGATTATCAAGCCCGTCTATTAGTTTATTCGCCTAAATATATTATTAATACCGTTTTCAAATTACACCAAAATTGAAAAATTGAAAACTTAATAATTGAAAAATTGAAACATTTTAAATGAAAAAAATCGGTAAACCGAAAAATTGAAAAATCTATAAATCGAGAAATTGAACAATCTAAAAATTAAACAATTTAAAAATCGAAGAATTGGAAAACCAAAAAATCTAAACCGAGAACTTGAAAAATCGAATAATGGAGAAATCAAAACATCAAGGAAAACAATAAAATTAACGGAAAATCTAGAACTTAAAAATTGAAAAATTAAAATACCTATCGAAAAATTGAAAAACCGAGAAATCATCAAAAAATGGAAAAATTAAAGAACCGAAACATTGCAAAATCTCAGAACTGAAATACTGAAAAACTGAAAAATGGAAGGAAAATTGAAAAATCGAAAAAGTGAAAAAATTCAAAACTGAAACATTGAAAAATCCAGAAATCGAAAAATTGAAAAATCACAATTGAAGAAAGAATTGAAAAATCAAGAAATAGAGAAATGGGAAAATCAAAAAATCAGTTAATCGAAAAATTGAAAAATCGAAAAATTTAGAAACGTCAAAAATTGAAAACTGAAAAATAAAAAAATTTAAAAATCGTAAAACTGAAATATCGTAAAGTTAATAAATTGCAAAACTGAACATTTTTGAAAAAAAAAATCGTATCAAAAACTAAAAATTCAAAAAATCGAGAAATTGAGCAATCAAAAAATCAAAACATTGAAATCCCAGTAAGTTGATAAATAGGAAAATTTAAAAAACAAAAATTTTTAAAATCCAAGAATTGAACAACAAAAAAATCTAAGCCTGTTACTCAGAAAATTGAATAATCGAGAACAAAAAATCTAAAATTTAAAAATTCGACAAATTGAAAAATCATGGAACTGAAAAATCGAAAAGTCGAGATAGTGAGAAATCTAAAAACCTAAAACTTTAAAAACTGAAAAATTAAAATGTCGAAAAATTTAAAAACCGAGAAAACACAATATCAAAAAAGTGAAAAAATCCCAAACTGAAACATTGAAAAATTAAGAAATGGAAAAATGGGAAAATTAAAAAAAATTGGTCTAAAGCAGGCCTTCTTAAACTATGGGTCGCGACCCCAAATGGGGTCGCGTAGCAAAATTCTGGGGTCGTGAGAGATTTTAATGTCAAATATTTAAATACACGATTTTATAACATCTATATGTGTATTTGTGCAGGGTCACACTTATCTTTTTTTATGTTTACATGGGGTCCCCAGGAAACTCGCAATCATAAATGGGGTCGTGAACGAAAAAAGTTTAAGAAGCCCTGGTCTAAAGAGTTTAGACAGTACTTCCCTCGCTATCGGAAACGTGACGACTGCATGCCTATTATGTTTTTTTCACATTAGATTTCAAAGCATTCGGTTTTGTATTTGCTGATTAAATCAATAAAATAAATTTGCGCATTCATTAATTTTTTTGAGTCACCCGGTATATGCAAATCCAAAAAACATGAATGGAATGATAAATCACAAGAAGAGACTCATCATATTTTGTACAATTTAGATAGGATTTATTCAGCAAAATTTTGAGGTGACGTCATCAATTTTTTAGAGGGGATAAGTAAATATATTGTGAATAAAACGGTCCTGGTTTAATAACAAAAAAATATTGTTCGTCTATAAAACAAGCTCGTCTTAGACAAAGTATTCGTAAAAAAAATATGTCGTAAAAAGTTTACGTATGCTGGTCCCGACTGCGATTATGGTTTAAATATTTTTTAGAAAATCCTGTCATGGATATAGAAACATTTGTGACAGCCAAAGAGGTTTTTTTGAGAAAATTATCTTTGAATTTAGACCAAATTGAAATAGACACTAGGCAACAGGCACATTTGGGCAAAAGAAAGAGAAATTAGGGTTACGGCTTCAAATTTTGGACATATTTACAAACTTAGACCGACTACAGCAATAGCTAAAACTGTGGAGTCTCTGTTGTACAGTACATTTAGAGGTAATAGTCATACATACTATGGACAGCAAAGTGAGGAAAAATCTGTCAATTGTTTTGAAATAAATAAAAATATATAAACTGAACGGTGTGGCTTGTTTATTTCAAAACAATTTCCTTACTTGGCTGCTAGTCCAGACAGGGTTCTAGAAGATAGGAGTGCATTAGTCGAAATTAAATACCCTTCAAAATCGCAAGATTTGTCTCCCGAAGAAGCGGTTAGAAAAAAAAAATAATCAAATTTTGTACATTGACAGAGAATTGAAACTAAAAAAAAAAAATCATGATTACTACTTTCAAGTCCAGGGACAAATGCTTGTTACGGGTATTTCACAAGTTTATTTTGTTGTATGGACACCCAAAGGAATAAATATAGACAAAATTTATAAAGACGAAGAAATATATGTAAAAAGATGGCAGATAAACTTGGCAGATTTTACTTTGGCGCATTATTGCCCGAAATAATTGATTCAAGAAGAAAGAGGAACTTGCCTTTGCGAGAGATTTTTTTTAAATAAATAAAATTTGTTTCTATTTTTTTATGTACTTTAATAATTTATTAGGAGTACATTTTTCATGACTAAGACTTGCATATTTTTATTATAAATATATTTTGAAAATGATCTCTCGGCAAATGAAAACATATACGAGCACTTTTTTCGAGTAAACAATGAAGGGAGAAGTTACTGGGCGTAGGGCTTTATTAAAACACCTCCTTTCTGGGATAAGTAGTAGATACACTTAGCTACTTATACGTGTTAAACAAAAGCTGTATTTTATATATTTTTTATTATTATTATAAATATGTTTATTAGTTTTATTAATTAACAAAGCAAAATATATATTAACAATAATATTACAATGAATTTTTAGTAATCATGTGTATTGAATTCAGGATCCTGAGTGGAGTAAAAATATTATAGTTCCCCAGTTTTAATTCGGTTTTATGATAGTACCTCATTGCGTAAAAGTTAATTTCCTTAACAATAGATTACTACGGCCGGTCCTGGCGGCTTGTTATAAAACTGAGTTCCTTGCCATAAATTAGAAAAATCAGCCGAGAACGCTAACAATCAGCTTATGGTAGAGCAGGAGATACGGGTTTTACCTGGAAAGTCGCTTCCGTAAATTTTAGTGGCGCTCCTATCGGCAAAGTACTGAACTAACTGCTCCAGTTCTGTCGAATTGATACCCATTTTTTTCAATAATTGTTAGTTTTTGTTAAAAACTCAGCTAACCAATAG